GGGGCCGGGCGGGAAGCAGCGCCGAGCACCGGGGCTGGCGGGCCGGGCGGCCGCCTGAGGAAAGCGAATTGCGCCACATGTGTCCGCCTTCAGGAGGAGACTTTTTATTTACTTATTTATTTATTTCCCCCCCCCCCGTTTTCCCCTTCAACTTTTCCCCAGCCGCTGCGCCGGGCTGTCCCGCTTGTCCCTTCACCGCAGCCCCAGGACGGGCCGCCCGGTCCCGGCACACAGTGGGCTCCGGGGCCCGCTCCAGCCCCTCTTGGCTCCGGGAGCAAAAGGCCTCAGAGTGAGGGGTTTAAGGGGGGGGGGGGAAACATCTCTTCATGGTCCTTTCGTGCCTCTCTTCAGCCCCACATCACTCGTGGGGCGGCGGATGGTGCCTCGGGTGGTGGCACCCCTCTGGCATGAAACTCGGGTGGTGGTCTGGGGGGGTTTGTCCCCCCGTGAGGGCAGGTCTGGGGACCCAAACGTGTCCTCGCCACCCGTGAGTGGGTCTCGATGCCTGTGTCCAAATCCCAGCTGACAGAAGCATCCGTGGTGCCTTTACATCAGTTTTTCATCCCTCTTCGGCAGGGTGACAGCTTGCTGCGGTCAGGTCTTGAGCTGTCACTGACTCCTACGGGGAGACATGACTTTCTTTTTTTCTTTTTTTTTTTCTTACTACTATGGGGAAGAGGGATTTACCACATTATATGATTTGTTTTTTTCTTAAAGTACGTAACTTGGTGAAAATTTAACTTACCGCCAGTTTTTTATTTCCCCATTGAAAGTCTGCGTCCCGTGGCCAAATGACAGTTCTTTTTTCCGAGAAAGGTGAATTTGGGACAGGCAAACTCTTCTCTGAGGGTTGTTGCTTTCCCTGTGTGACTTGAGCATAACAAGTTTCCCCTTACAAAGGAGAGCCAGTAAGGCTAACTGCTTTTGTAGAAGATGTTTAAAGTAGCTGGTGAAGAGCACAAAGTAGTAGCTGTCTTTAAAATACAAGTTTACATATAATCTTCTTTCCATATCTGATACTTTTAATTTATAGACGACTATATAAAATAAAATCCAAGTGATGTTTTTGGATATATGATATATCCACATATGTATTCGTGTCTAGCCACTTTGTCCAACATATAGGATTATTCATATTACCTCGATAATCAGGGTCTTCATGAATAAATATAAAATGTATATAGTCTAAGAGGTGGTAGGAGAGGATGTGCTTGGCATTATTGCCAGAAGATGAGCAAATCCCAGCTCTGACAGAACGAGGAAGGAAGAGGTTCCCAATCTGAGCGCTCGCATCTCTCGGTATTGCAGCTGTAAAATTAACATTGATGTGTGCAGCCTGATTGTTGGTTGTCCCAGTGCTTTGCAGAAAATCTGGCTGTTTAAGTCTGAGATATCTAATCACGTGCAGCGGCACAAAGCGTCAAGCGGTCCTGTCCTGACGTGGCAACTCCTGCCGCGAGACACGAGCGTCTCTTTCTGGTGAGGTCTTGCTGTAGCCACTGACCCCACCTCTCCTGTGCTCTGACTCTTTTCTGGGAAGAAATAAAAGATGCTGTCGTTGGGAATTCCCCTTTGCCGGTCCTTCAGGTCCCTGCTGTTGGTTTGGAGAAGCTGCATGTGAAGCTCCGTTCCACCTCAGTGCATGGAGAGCAGCCGTACCTTACAATGTGAAACGGGGCTGTGCTGGGCAGGTGGCTCTGGGAGGAACACGGGTGGTTGTGCTAAGCAAAACTATGGGTACAGTGACAGGATCAGTGACAAATTGTGTGATTATTATTTGATATGGTGTTTGCTGCTGGGGTGCCATTGTGTGTGCGGTATATTTTCCACCATTAGTGTGCACTTACTTCCCTTGCGTTGCAAGTCAAAGCAGTCAAAATCTCATTTGCAGATCTAATGGGAGCTGGTATAGATCCTGGAGTAGTGTAACTGTGTAATAGGCTGATGGCCAGCATGGTTTGAATTGTTGAGTGCTCTCAAGGTGTGTGTCTGACCTGATCATTCTGATCATGCCAATACTGCAAATTGATAATAGGATTATTTGTGTAGGAAGTGGAAGGTGGGATGAGTGGGAATAAAAGCTAGAAATAAGATCAGAATGGCTATACCTCTTTCTCTAGACCTGTGCATCAGAGGGAGAACAGTTGTGGGAGGTTTGGAGAGTTGGATACAAGAAAGCACGTAAACACAACAAAATAAATAATTTTTTCTTAAAGGCAGAAAGGGCTATTAAATCACATAGTTAATTCTCCAAGTTTAACCAGATTGAAGCCTTAGATTGGCATCTTCAATTTCATTGAAAGTTGCTCAGTTTTTGAGGTTTGGAGAGTTGGATACAAGAAAGCACATAAACACAACAAAATAAGTATTTCTTAAAGGCAGAAAGGGCAATTAAATGTCATAGTTAATTCTCCAAGTTTAACCAGGTTGAAGCCTTAGATTGGCATCTTCAAGTTTATTTCAAGTTGCTCAGTTTTGAAGATAAAAATGAAGAGTTAAGCCATTTTGAGTGCATTACATGTACGTGGACTTTCTTTTAACACGGACACTTGTTTTGCATTCATTTGCAGGCACGTTAAGGCAGTAGGTCACAGATTCATGCTCTCTAACTAAAGACAATAACTTCCATTTCCTTTCAATTCCGTAATCTGCTC